TAGCTTACCTGTCTAATATCAATCTGTCAGGAGATAGTGACAGAGTGAACAAATATGTTAAAAATATATTTTTAGAAAAGTTACATACTGCACCTTTAAATATTCAACTAAATCATAGAATTTCAATTATTTCAAATGATAAAACTAGATGCCGCATAGCGGTAGCAAATATAACCCCTGTACATTTGTAAAGCACCAATGTACTAGTAATCAGAAGTCACTAGAATACATTTCTTGACTTGGGTGGGAGTCCAGAGGGGGTGGGGGGTGCTCATTGGTGGGCCCAATGGATAGCCCTTCATCAGAGCTAAACAACAACAAATAATAAAATCTGAAGCACCTATGTTGAATAGTTTTTGCGTCATAAGCATTTTTGTATATTCAGACATCCCATTGTCAGATGGAGCCCCCTTCTCAAATATGGGTCTACCGTAAAACCATTGGCTGGCACAATGTCGGACACATCTCCGTCCGTCCATCTGTTTTCTTCCACTTATCTGGGGTCAGGTCACGAGGGAAGCAGTCTAAAGCAGAGAGACCCAGACGTCCCTCTCCCCAGTCACTTTGGCCAGCTCATCCGGGGGAATCCCAAGGTGTTCCCAGGCCAGCTGAGAAACATAGTCCCTCCAGCGTGTCCTGGGTCTTCTTCTGGGTCTCCTCCCAGTGYGACATGCCCGGAACACCTCACCAGAGAGGCGTCGAGGAGGTATCCTAACTAGATGCCCGAACCACCTCAACTGGCTCCTCTCAACGTCGAGGAGCAGCAGCTCTACTCTGAGTCCCTCCTGGATGACTGAGCTTCTCACCCTATGTCTAAGGGAGAGCCCAGCCACCCTGCGAAGGAAACTCATTTTGGCCGCTTGTATCCACGATCTCGTTSTTTTGGTCAATACCCAAAGTTTGTGACCATAGATGAGGGTAGGAACGTAGACAGACCAGTAAACCGAGAGCTTCGCCTTCTGACTCAGATCCCGCATCACCACGACAGACCGGTACAGTGCCTGCATCACTGCAGATGCAGCACCAATCTGTCTGTCTCCTGTTTGAGGAGACTGTGACATGAGTCATTGAATGCAGATTGCACATCAATTTATCAGTTTACTCATAAAATAGATACCTACCAATGCAATTAGGTAATCATTACATGGTCTGGTCTAGTTCTGTAGGTAAAAACATGAATGTGTAGTGCTTTAAAAAATATTGTTAAACAACAAATTTTCTTTCAATAACTTAGAAATTCATAGTGATTTTTAAAGGATCAAACTACACTTGTTGAACTTTCATGTATTTTCTGCCTTTGGGATGTCTACTATAAAGCTACAGTTTCTAATGTACTCTACATGTGTTTCAGTGCTTCCTGCAGATGTTCAAGAATCTCCTGAAGAACAGAGACCTTATGTGGACCAGCAGGACCGAGAACACCTTAACATAAAAGAGGAAGAGGAGGAACTGTGCATCAGTCTGGGAGAAGAGCAGCTTAATGTCAAAGAAGAGACTAATGCCACAAATGTTTCATTCACTGTGATTCCTTTGAAGCATGAGGATGATGAAGATAAACCTCTGTTCTTACAACTTCATCAACACCAAAATGAAATCAGAGACCTTCCAACCAGCAGCTCAGCTGACTACTTGGAATCAGCAATTGGTGGAGAGCCCTATGGAGGACCAGAAACTACCAGAACCCCAGATCTGACCACTCATGAAGAGGATTCTCACTCTTCAGAAACTGTAATCGGTGAGGATGCTGAAGAGGATAAGGATGTGAACAATCCTGTCTCTCAGTTGAYACACTTAACAGATTATGGGTCAAAAACCAAAGACACTGGTGAAAACTGGGAGATTTCTACAAGCAGAGTTCCCGAATCAGGTGTAAAAAGCAGCAAAAATGAACAGAATCTGTATTGTTGTAAGTTGTGTGAGCGGAAGTATACCACAAAAGGCAATTTAAAGACACATATGAAAATCCACACGGGGCAGAAGCCATTTTGTTGTGAGCTGTGTGATCAACGGTTCATACAAAAGGGAGATTTAAACACACACATGAGAATCCACACAGGACAGAAACCATTTTCTTGTGAGTTGTGTGATCGAAGATTTAGCCAAAAAGGTAGTTTAAACACACATATGAGAATCCACACAGGACAGAAGCCATTTTGTTGTGAGTTGTGTGATCGAAGGTTTACTGAAAAGGGCAGTTTAAACACACACATGAGAATCCACACAGGACAGAAGCCATTTTGTTGTGAGTTGTGTGATCGAAGGTTTACCGAAAAGGGCAATTTGAACACACACATGAGAATCCACACAGGACAGAAACCATTTTGTTGTGAGCTATGTGATCAAAGATTTACTGAAAAGAGTAGTTTGAACACTCACATGAAAATCCACACAGGACTGAAGCCATTTTGTTGTGAGTTGTGTGATCAAAGGTTTAACAAAAAGGGGAATTTGAACACACACATGAGAATCCACACAGGGCAAAAGCCATTTTGTTGCGAGTTCTGTGATCGAAGGTTCAGCCAAAAGGGAGATTTAAACAAACATTTGAGAATCCACACAGGACAAAAGCCATTTTGTTGTAAACTGTGTGATCGAAGGTTTACCACTAATGGCAATTTGAACACACACTTGAGAATCCACACTGGACAGAAGCCATTTTCTTGTGAGCTGTGTGATCGAAGATTTAGCCAAAAGGGAGATTTAAAGACACACATGAGAATCCACACAGGACAGAAGCCATTTTGTTGTGAACTGTGTGATCGAAGGTTTAATGAAAAGGGAAATTTGAACAAACACATGAGAATCCACACAGAAAAAAAAAGTTATTAGCAATAACTATTGGATCAAAGCTTGGTCCTCTATCGTGAGGTATGAAATCAGCACAAAGTCCACAAGATTATAGAAAAACAGGTACATGTTCAGTGTGCAGGACTGTGTTTATGATACAGTAGGTCTTTGTATTAAATTATATTAACCTCTTGAGATCTGAGGATTGTACTCTAAATCTAGTCTTTCTGACATCTGAAACAGGCTGAAAATTTCACAATTTCCCTTCACCATGTATTTTTCTTTCTTCTGACTGATCTATAAATGAGTTTTATCCAGTATATCACACTCTCTAACCTGATGATCTAAACTGATTTTAATACTTTTGTCAATGTTCCCAAATGTGTACAAGGTATAAAAATAAGTAAAATCTACATCTTTATTCAAAAACCTACAGGAGACTCACTCAGGATAAAAATACTTCAACAAATCTTTCAGGAGAAAGTGAAATGTTTCTTGGTGTGACGAAGTTTTGGACAAGAGTGCTGTGGTCTTAAGAGGCTATTCC